GCAGGACAGGGTTATTTGCTCTTGTTTCAAAATCAAAACCACTCTTCCTATTCCAGTTACCAGGGTTTTCTGCAACCAGTACTTCATAATTACAAGTTCTCAACATCTAGAATTTTTTTCTGTTGGTTTACCTTTTTTTAATGCATGTATGAGTACCTAATCAAAACCTTTTCAGATGCAAGTAAGCACTGCAAATTCTGCCATGATCTTCTGTCCTGGATTGTCCATGTCCTCACGAAATTTAGTCTCTCACATCATTCAGTCATCAACTTCCCTTCTAGGACAGCAGATGAGATACTTAATTGGTCATAATTGCTCTAAAAGATAAGAAACTTACTCCATCGCTTTAATGCAAGACTGATTTGCTAAAGGAAATAGGAACACAAAAGACTCTCTCTCCCGTGAAATAGTTTGCAGAACTGTCCTGTTAAATGCCATCGATTTTTCCTGAAAAAAATGTTAGAACTTTACATTTCAACAATGATTAGCTTTTTCCCACCTCTTTCGCCTTGTTAAAAAAACATCACTCCAGTCCCTTTCCTTTGAAGGGGAGAAGAGACATAGTAACACCTATATTTTTAAGGTATAACACACTGATTTTCTTAGACTGATCGCTCCAAGAGAATAGAAAATCCCAGAAGATGAACACTCTTGCATATGAGAGGCATCACCTACTTACTAATGGCACTGATAAAAGCTTAGAAATAACAGGTGTTAAGATAAGAAGGGGGAGTATACCTGGCCAGCATCTAGGCCACAAAACTCAGTACAGTCTGCAAGACTCACTAGCCTCCTAAAGACATTTTTTGTTTACATCTTTTCAAACAACTCCACTGAAAGAAAAAGAATGAAAATATCCTTTCTGCGAGCTGGTATCACATTTCAAAAATTGCAGAAGGTTTTTAAACCAGCATATTGAAAAACAGAGACAGCTGCTGGAGAGAAAAGGAGCTATTTGGAAGCAGGAGTGGAATTCTCAACAATTCTCGTCCTCTCACTAGTAAAATACCTACCTTCAGGAGTAAATCCCAACATATATCGATGGGCTAAGGCCAATTGTATTAGGTTTAACAAGGCCAAGTGGCTGGTCCTGCACTTGGGTCACAACAACCCCACGCAGTGCTACAGACTTGGGGATGAGTGGCTGGAAATGCCTGGCAGAAAAGGACCTGGGGGTGCTGGTCAACAGGCAGCTGAACATGAGCCAGCAGTGTGCCCAGGTGGCCAAGTAGGCCACCAGCATCCTGGCCTGTATCAGAAATAGTGCGGCCAGCAGGAGTAGGGAAGTGATTGTGCCCCTGTACTCAGCACTGGTGAGGCCACACCTTGAGTACTGTGTGCAGTTTTGGGCACCACATTGTAGGAAAGACATTGAGGTCCTGGAGCGTGTCCAGAGAAGGGCAAAGAAGCTGGCGAGGGGTCTGGAAAACAGGTCTTATGAGGAGCAGCTGAGGGAACTGGGGTTGTTCAGGCTAGTGAAGAGGAGGCTGAGGGGAGATCTTATTGCTCTCTACAACTACCCGAAAGGAGGTTGTAGTGAGGCCAGTGTTGGTCTCTTCTCCCAAGTAACTAATGACAGGACAAGAGGTAATGGCCTCAAGTTGCACCAGGGGAGATTTAGACTGGATATTAGGAAAAATTTCTTTACTGAAAGAGTGGTTAGACATTGCAACAGGCTGCCCAGAGAGGTGGTGGAGTCACCATCCCTGGAGGTGTTCAAAAGACGTCTATATGGTGCTTAGGGACATGGTTTAGTGGTGGGCTTGGCAGTGTTAGGGTAATGGGTGGACTTAATGATCTTAAAGGTCTTTTCCAAATAAAATGTTTCTATGACTCTATATATGTAATTGACTTCCATATACTCACCACAAGGACTCCATTGGTCAATACCTCTGTAGGGGCATGTGAGCTGTGAAAGGAAGAAATTAAAAACAAACCTAATTTGCATTAAGTTTGCTTCATTCTGCTTCACAAACTAACTGCCTGGATAAGCGGTGGCAGAGAAACGTCCCCAGTGTGAGAGATCTATGCAAACTAGACTGACACCAAGTATATATATTTCCCTTCACAGAACAACAGGGGAAAAAAGTACTGAAGAAAACATCTATCTGCAGCTATAAGCATGTGCTGTAAGGTCTCCCCATCTCAGTTATTTTGATAACACAGAAAAAAGCTGAGCTTAGATAGACTATCAGATAAAGTATTCATTTGTTTCTATTGCAAGGTTAACTGTGAAAGCTTTCCACTCCTAAGTAACTCATCCACAAAATGTTCCTTTCCTTTGCAGTGCTGCCATTCCCACGAAGCCCAGCAAAATTTTATTTCTTTTTTCGGTACCCCAAAAATTTTGGTGACTGGAGCTTTAAGAATATTTGTGATCAGCTATTGGTGAATCAACTCGAACACCACCAAGAACTGTACAGCATTAGCCTTTTTATGGGCAAGACTGTCCCTGCACAGAAAAAACAACTAAGACAACATATCTGCAGAGCATAAGTTCATTCAGCTCTTCAGGTAAGACTCACCATTCCTCCAAGTAAAACTCTACATCCAGCTCTTCATCAGCCTTTGAAAATAAAAGTTGGACACAGGTGACCCTTGATCTTGAATATAATTATGAGAAGTTTTTCCAAGAGACTAAGCTTTCTTCCTGTTACAAACTAAAGTAACTATTTTTGTTGCTCTCACAAAAGCTCCAGTTAAATTTTAGGTTTAAATTTATGCCTGTTGTTGTTGCTGCTCTTTAAACATTCCTTTCCTCCTGGACATATCCTGTACGACCAGACATATCTATGTTTGAGGACACAAGTGCACACAAGTATGAGTTGGCTCTCAGATCCATTACTTTGCTAATGAGAAAAAAAAAAACAACACCCTCTTCTGGATCAAGTACAACTGCAGCACCATCTCTGCAAATAGCTTCTACAGGAGGCTTTGTGCTTCCTCCCATTTGTTACTTCAGCAGATTGCACTCTTAGCTCACTGCTGTCTTTGTCTTGTACAGACTTTGATCAAGTCATCTTTTCCCCTACCATAGCATACAGTATATGCTTGATACCAGACCTAATGCAGCTTTTAAAATAATCAAGTAGAAGCCAATTTGAGCAACTCTCTTACTGAATTTGAAGCTTCCAGTTCCATAACTACTGATGAAGATGACTGAAGCGTTCAGCAAACAGGACAGAGTTAGTGGGAACAAGGAAGCTACTAAGTCTCCTTCTGTAAGCACAAATAATTTAGAGTGCCTGTGACACCGACAAACACCTCCCTGCTAACTGCACACCAGTCAGTCTTCTTCTGACCACACCAATGGCACTGAAGCCCGATTTCTCAAGAGAACACATCATTAGCTCATCTATAATCCAGACCTATTGCAGCAATGTGCTTGAGGCAGTTACAAAAATGATCAGACTGGTGATGTGGCTTTAGCTACGTAAAACAAAGTGGTCTGATTGCATGTCCGTAAACAGGTGCACAGGGACTGAGAGCAACTGATATGCATCAATGTCACCCACATGAAGCAGAGGTTAAATGTAACTGAACATAAGTTAGGGAAATCTTAGGCTTTTGATTTACTGACTATCGAGGTACCTTTGCAGCAATAAACTTCTTCACTGCAAACTGACGATGAGCAACTAAATAAGACAGCCTGCAGTCCCCACAATGATTGCTGACTGCAAATGCCTTTCATTTTAAGGCCAGTTTATGCCCCTCTAGTCTCCTGAAAAATCAATTCCCTTTAAAGGTGTTTTAATATCTTCTGAAACACAGCAGTCATCCTCAGTTTCGCTTAGTTAGGCATCCCAAAGACTGTGGAACACACACACCAAAAAAATCACTAGGGATTTTAGAAACCTCTCAGATGACAGTAAAACTGTATATGCTGACATGACCTGCTGATGCATTTTCCCCTTCTGGCTTCTACAACATGGATAAATCAACCAGCATGTACTGCTGGATTTCTGTAATGATGAGCTGCAGCTATTCATAGTCAACCTGGGAAGAAGCCAGGAACTAACCTCAGGGTTCAATCTGAAAGTGCGCCGCAGGGGCTGACCTGGCTTCATGCCCCCTACATCGAAGACGATAGACGTGAGCTCATCACTGACAAGGACATCCTTATCATAGAGTGTCAATTCCAGAATGTTCTAAAACAAAACAGAAACAAACAGCGTCAGATGAAGAGACAGAAACACTTCTACAAACCTGAGTAACTGTATACAATACACAATTTATGCATTAATCAACACCCTTCCCCTTTCCCACTCCTGAAAATAATTCACTGTTTCCAGCAGGACTTACAGCACAGGTAAGCAAAAAGCTCCTAGTTGACAGAGTTTAGCTAAAAGATTTTCTGAGCTTCCCAACTAGAGAGAGGCCCCAGCTGAATGCATGTAGCAGTACTGTCCTCCAGCTTCAGGCAGAGATTTGCTTGAGGAAGCAATAGGAACTTTCCTTCTTTAAGCATGATTCAGTCCAGGATGTCATATGGACCCATCATTTCCTGCTTAGCACCTGAGAGCAGGTAAGTCCATCAGAAACTAATTGAAAGAGATACAGTGAGTACATATGGCACCCAAAAAATAGCCTTGCAGCAACCAGTTTTCAAGGAGACAAGACTGAATGTGGAATTGTGCTGGCACAGCCTCACAGCAGTAACTAGACTGCGGCCTCATGAGCCTGCAGGGGAAGAAAAAGCTCACATGCTCTAAAGCTTAGTTTGCAATTTTCTTACCATTCTACCTTTGTCATCAACCATTATATAAAGGTAGTCCAGTGAGGGGGTTAGTTTCTTGCTAATAAGCATCTTATTCCAAAGCCTAGGAGGTTATTCAAAGCAATAATGTCCTACTAAAACTAATCTTTTAAAGCTGTTTCCTTCCCTCTACCATTAGTGTCTACTTTGAGAATGAATGCTGACAATCTGAAGACTTTGTTCAATACTCTATTAGGTCCCACTCAGATAGATGTACTGTCTCTATCCAGGAGTTCAAATTTTGCTGTTATGATGGCAACACTTGACTGAACTAAGTGGCAAAGCAATTTGAAATTTAGTTCCCATTACGCTCACTCAGCCACTTGGCTGTGTAAGGCAAGTTTGCTACAAGAAGGCAAACAGCTACTCTGTGAAAGTAGAAGCAATCCTCAAATAGAAACTGGCTTTATCAAGGACTTCCCTTGAACTCTACCAAGTAGTGCTTACCTTTCCTGAGTTGCATCATAAGGATGTTTATGGAAAATCCTAGCTGCAATTTACAAGAGAGTGCAGTTACAAACTGCTGTGGTTATCACTGGACATGCACAGTACTGCTTTTTGTACCACTAAAGACGACTGACACCTTACAAGCAATGCTGGTTTTGAGGGTAATCAAGATCCCTTGATTTTGAATGAAGTATCAGAAGTAAGCCAGTACACAAATGCAGGCAGCCAATCAGCTCCACAAAGTGCACTCCTTACCTTGACAGCACTATGGATTCGATAGTGGAAAGTTTCATTCCATTCTGGGTTATCAGAGTTGTCAACAACCTGAGTTCGGGAGACTACGGGAGATGCGGTGGGCAGCTTTAGTTCCACGTAGCAGTCTGCCTTGGACACTAGAGTAGAGAGTGTAGAGGCAGACATCAGAACAACTTCAGTGAAACATTTTCTTTCCCATCAGCTCCTCATTTTCTAGATCTCATTGCATTACAGAAATGTGCAAATTTAAGGCTGGACTTGTAAAGCAAAAGCCTTTAATGAAGTACACATCTTTAAACAGCAGCAAATTAAACATTAGGGTCCTGAGGGAACTGGTGCATAAAGTGGCAAAGCCACTATCCATCATATTTGAGAAGTCATGGCAGTCTGGTGAAGTTCCTGCTGCCTGGAAAAGGGAAAACATAGCCCAAGTTTCTAAAAAGGGGAAAAAAGGAAGACCCAGAGAATTACAGGCCAGTCTCATCTCTGTGCATGGCAAGATCATGGAGTGGAACCTCGTGGAAACTATCCTAGGGCACACGGAAAATAAGGAGGCGACTGGTGACAACCAACATGGCTTCACTAAGGGTAAATCGTGCTTGACAAACTTGGTGGCCTTCTATGATGGGGTTACAGCATTGGTGGATAAGGAAGGAGCAACTGATGTCATCTATCTGGACTTGTGCAAAGCATTTGACACTGTCCCACACAACATCTTTGTCTCTAAACTGGAGACATATGGATTTGACAGATGGACAACTCAGGGGATCAGGAATTGGCTGGATGGTCCCACTCGAAGAGTCACAGTCAATGGCTCATGGCCGAGTGGAGACCAGTGACAAGTGGTGTTCCTCAGGGGTCAGAATTGGAACCGGTACTGTTTCACATCTTGGGCAGTGACATGGACAGTGGAATTGAGCACACCCACAGCAAGTCTGCTGATGACACCAAGCTGTGTGGTGTGGTCAACACACTGGAGGGAAGGGAAGCCATCAAGAGGGACCTTGACAGGCTGGAGAGGTGGGCCCGTACAAACCTCATGAAGTTCAACAAGGCCAAGTGCAAGGTCCTGCACCTGGACTGGGGCAATCTCAAGCCCATATCGAGGCTGGGCGATGAGTGGACCAAGAGCAGCAGGGAGAGCGGCTGTGGTTGGTCTTGCCCTATGACTCTCTCTCCCATTTTCCTCCTAGAGAGATGTGGCCGTATCTCTGTCTTGTGGCCAGCAGGTCGAATGAGGTGATTCTCCCCCTCTACTCTGCTCTGGTGAGACCCCACCTGCAGTGCTGCGTCCAGCTCTGGGCCTCCAGCACAAGACAGACACAGACCTGCTCAAGCAGGTCCAGAGGAGGCTGCGAAGATGCTCAGGGGGCTGGAGCACCTCCCCTGTGAGGACAGGCTGAGAGACTTGGGGCTGTTCAGCCTGGAGAGGAGAAGGCTCCGGGGAGACCTTAGAGGGGCCTCCCAGTGCTTAAAGGGGGCTACAGGAAAGGTGGGGAGGGACTCTTGATCGGGGAGGGTAGTGATGGGACAAGAGGTAATGGCCTCAAACTGAAAGAGGGGAGATTTAAATCAGATCTTAGAAAGAAATTCCTTACTGTGAGGAGGGTGAGGCACTGGCACAGGTTGCCCAGAGAAGCTGTGGCTGCCCCCTCGCTGGCAGTGTTTAAGGCCAGGCTGGATGGGCCTTTGAGCGACCTGGTCTGGTGGAAGGTGTCCTTGCCCATGGTGGGGGAGGGGAGGGGGTTGGAACTAGATGATATTTAAGGTCCCTTCCAACCCAAACCATTCTATGTGATTCCATGATACTATATTTCTTTTTTTCTGTTTCATCCAAACCATAAAGCCCTTCATAAAAGAGACTACTATTCAAAATGAGGAAGATCAACTGTTCAAAAAAAGATTACTGCTGTTATTGGGCCCATTGTCTCTTGTCCTGTCACGAGGCACAACAGAAATTGAGTGTGGCTCCAACTTCTTAATACCCTTCTTTCAGATACTTGTACACATCAGTAAGATCCCCCTGAGCCTTCTGTTCTGCAGGCTAAGCAGTCCCAGATCTCTCAGCCTTTCCTCATATGAGAGATGCTCTGGTCTGCTGACATTCTTAGTGGCCGTTCACGAGATTCTCTTTGGTAGCTCCAGTATCTCTCACAGTGGTGAGCCTAGAACTAGACACAGCTCTCCAGATGCAGCCTCACCAGTGCTGAGTAGAGGGGAAGGATCACTTTGCTTGTCCTGTTGGCAATGCTCCTCCTAATGCAGTCCAGGATACCACTAGACTTTCTTGCAGCAAGAGCACATTGCTGGCTTATGGTCAGCTTGCCACCCACCAAGCCTCCCAGGTCCTTTTCTACAAAGCTGTTTTCCAGCCAATCAGCCCCCACCATACACTGGCGCACAGGGTTGTTCCCCTCCCAGATGGAGGATTTTCACTTTTTGTTGACTGCATGAGGTTCCTGTCAGCCCACTCTTCCAGCCTGTCGAGGTCCCTCTATCTCAGCATGATACTTTGGTTACCAGCCACTCCTCCGTTTTGTAACATCAAACTTGTTGAGAATACACTTTGCCCCAGCATCCAGATCATTAATGAAGATGTTGAACAATATGGGACCCAGAACTGATCCCTAGGTTACACCACTAGTCACTAGCTTCCGACTAGACTTTGTACCACTGATCACCACCCTCTGAGCTCTGGCCATTCAGCCAGTTTTCAATCCAACTCCGTGTCTGTTTTTCCAGTCCATACTTCATCGGCTCCTCTATGAGAATCTTATGGGAGACAGTGTCAAAAGCCTCCCTAAAGTCCAAGTAGACAATATCCATCACTGCTATACCATCATCTAGTCTGGTCAGGAGTTTAGCTTTCTGTTTCCATTCCTTGAAAATAACCAATTGTCTCAGAGTCCTTCCTTCTTTCAAGTTAAGGTCCCTTTAACAACAAAAGTATGGTAAACATTCTTCACTCCAGTTGAACAGAGAGGCCATAAAAAGAACTCTTCACAGTATGATTCTAGCCCTCAGCCTTTCAGGAGGGTTTTCCACTCCCTGGACAGTCATTTAGCATTCCAGTAGTTCAGTGTTGGATGCCAGATATAAACTTAAGTCAGGCTATATACCTTGCTATATTAAATCTGAAGGACTATCTTAAATAGGTTTTAAAGATCCAAATGCCCCAAACAGCCCTCAGAGCTTTACTTAACACAGATGGGTAAGAGGAAGGGAATATGTATCATGCTGCCAAAACCAGGAACAGGTAAAAAGCAGTTTGTCCTGGAACCAGTCAACCACCTACATCCTTAAAAAGCTTCAATGACACAAACAACACAGCACGTACATGAAAAAGTACTACTACAACAGAGAAAAACATTTGGAAGACAGAATTGAAGACTGCTACTTCCAGGTGCAAGAAGACTGTTCAGGAGGAGCAAGGATGAAATTTGCCATGATTGGAGGGCTGAATCCAGACACAGGAACACAGAATGGGCCACAGCAGGACATGTAAAGAAGCAGGGCAAGCAAAACATCACCAGGACTTAGCTGATCTTGTTCTGAAGAGTATCAGGGTTAATCTGCGGCTTGGCCTTGCATCAAGCTTTTAAAATATATATAACGTTTTACAAGAGAAGCCTTTGTTCAGATATAAAGGCAATAAAGGTAAGAAGTACCATAACAGCGCTACTTGTGTTACAGGCATGAACCAAACAAACCATCTGTTTTCGTAATACCTTCACTAAATACTTACACAGATCTGTACCTTTGATGTTTCTGGCTCGGAGTACTTTTACTGTTAGGTTGTAGTAAGGGTGCTTCTCCCACTGAAAAGAGAGGAACAAGCTCAGCATCTAACTCAGATGCAATGTCTGTTCTATAACCATGCTAGTTATCAGTCCAGAGAAATGGATCAGACCAGCCAGCCCAAAATAAACTACTAGTAAGTTGGTTTGGGAACATACACAGCACCTTCAGTGTCATGGAGGAAGACTAAAGAAGTCTAGAAGGAAACTCAATTCTCTTTCAGCATGGCAATGAGTGATGTCTTAGGATAACTCCTCATGGACTTCAGAAAACAAGTCCCTTATTTAGAGTTTCCTCAATTATAGA